CCCCCAGCAACGAGTGTGCTGACCGGTGCTGGCCAGAAACACGTCTGAAGCCTTTCTTCGCACGTTTGACAATATTGCTGGGTGTTTGCTGGTAGTTGTTGACGTGATCTTCGCCGGCAGTGCGTCTAATTTCGCGGCCCGCCGATTGGCCGGGCGCGGTTATCCCAAACTGCTTGCAGAACGTCCTGGCGATCATGGAAGGGCGGGGCCCTGCGGGCGCGAAAACTGACGGGCTGTGGCAAGACATTGATATCGCCCATCAGATAGACGAAGAGATTGAAAAATATGACCTGGCGAGGAGCCACGTTCGCGCAGCCCTGCAACCGGGAACTCGCGAGCGCTACGCTCAGCGAGTGCGAAGAATTCTTCGCCGCCGCGCGCGCCCTCGCAGCTGCCGCCGCGCGCTGCGGCTCACGGACCAGCGTGCCCGACGCTGCGCTCGAGGCAGCGCCTCGGGGGCCGATGGCGCGGGCCCAGCCGGACTGTTGGGCCCTGACGGGCGTCGTCTCGCTCGTCGGCAGGGTGTTCGCCGTCGCGGGGCACTCGGCCTCGCTCCTCGTGCCGCCGCCGCCCTCCTGGGGGCGCGAGCCCCCGCGGCTCTCGCTGCTCTCCATCCGCCTGCTCGGCCTCAACAGCAGCCGCTCGCGCGCGGGCCGGAAGGCGCCGCCCCTCTCCTCGGCGGCCCAGTCGGCGCGCCTCTCAAAGATGGCGCGCAGACGCTGCGCGAGGAGCAGATGTGCTAAATCTGGGCGCGCGCTGCCATCAAAAATGCAGCGCTGACGTTCCCCCCTGCGCGCCATTTGATGGGGGCGGCGCGCCAGAATCAGAAGTGCCCCCCGTGATCCTTCTGGGGGGGTGACGACCCGGCCCGCCGGCGCGCGGCTGGAAGGAACGCCGTCGTGGCCAGATGATCGCGACGGCGACTGCGGGAGCGACGGCGCTGGAAGCGACGGAGACGAAGGGCCTCAACAACCCACGCCAGAGGGCTAAGCGATCGAATCCCTCCTGTTCCATCGCCGACGAATGCGACAACGGCGCCGACGACGCCGAAATCGACAACGCATGAGTTCCGCCAGCTCACGCCAATGCGCGAGTCGTTCGGGCCCCCCGCATCCTGGGCGAAGGCGGCGCAGCGCGGCATGGGGCGGGGCGTCTCCGAGTTCGCGGCGGCGGCGCAGCGTGGCAGGCCCGCCGCGAGGGCGAGCGGCTTGTCAAAAAAATTGCGACTTAAGGCTGGCCAGGGGGAGACCGACTTGAATTTGGAGGCGATCGGGGAAGCCGGCCTGCCCCCCGAGCGGCGCGAGGGCGAGCCCCGGCCGCCCGCGGGCAGCCGGCCCTGGCCTGGGGAGGGGCCCGCGCCCCACTGGGCCCACTCGCTGCTGCCGTGCTGCTCCGAGGCGCGCCCCTGCCCGAGTCCGGCGATCGCATGCGCGGATCAAGGGGGCGTGGATTGGCGACGGTCCCCGGTTCCATGGGAAATCGCTGCAGTTGTTCATTCATGGTTTCGCCGGTCGGCGCGGGCCCCCGCCCTTCCTTCCTGGAGTGTATCTTTGCTGTTTTGATGACTGTTTCGAGCAGGCGGAGGCCGCCCCCGCAATGGGCGCACTGCTCCGAGCAGTCGCACTGAGCAGATGTCCGGAGCCAGACCCCCCCCCCCCTTCCGCCCAATGTCGAAACGCCGGATGAGAAAATGCTCGCTAGCGACGGCCCCTGGTTCCATGGAGAATCGCGGAGTGCATGCGCGAGATCGAATAATGCACGGAGTGGGTCGGGTCCCGAGATTTTTGCTTTTCTTGGGGTCCAGGGGCCCTCCGTAGGCTCGGGGCAGGCAGCGCCCTGCTAGATAATTTCGCCGTGAGCGGGGCAAACGAAGCATGGCGACAATTGCGTCGCTACATTGCCACGTCGCCGTCTGCGGAGAGGAGAAACGCAACCCGTCCTTCGCCCCATCTGCCGACGGCCAGAGACGGGCGATGGGCCGCTTAGACCCGCAAGGCTCGACGCGAGCCGAAGCTCATTGCGGCGCGACCCCCGCGGGCGCGCGCGACCTCGAAGCGCCCACCAAACCACCCCAGCTCTACCCGATGGCCCCGATCTGCTTTCCATCTCTGGTGGATTCGCTTGCGAGCCCGAGTTTCACTCTGGGCTTTTGCCTTCGTTCGACTTGCGGCTGCTCCTGGACTTGCCCCCTTTCGCGCGCGGGGCACTGGGCGCGCTCCGCGCGGCCGCCAGCGCGATGAGCCTCGACGACGTGCCTGTCCATATCGACCGATGCCAACGGCTGTTAGGTGCTCTCGGGATCCTTCCGCGCCGGCGCGTTCTGCTTCCTGGCGGGACTACCCCCGCGGTGCCGGCGGCTTCGCAGCTTCGCCGCCTGGGGCAGCGTCGGGGAGAATCGGCAGCGATGGCTCGGAATGCCCAGGCCCTCGCAGCGAATCCCATGCGCCGCGAGACCGAGAAGCGCTATCCCCGCTTACTCCAGGCCCGCGGCGCTGCCAACCTCATCTCGGAGGCTCACGGATGCGCTGGACAACGCAAAGCATGGGGAGCTCCACGAAGCTGTTCCTCGCGTGGTCGGCGGGCTCTTCCGCGGCCCACGCCGGCGTCGGCGTCGTCGTCGAGCACGCGTGCTGGGGGCATTTCGAGGAGCTCTCCAGGCAGGCCTTGCGGCCCGGGCGCGCTGGGCGGCTTCGACTGCGGGGTCGGGGGGGGGGGGGGGGGGGTGGCGCGCTCGATCTCATCGCGCGCTACTTCATGTCGGGCGCGACGGTGGCAGAGGCGGGCTTGCGTGGCGTCGCAGAAACGCAGCTTGCGCGCTGCCCTTGCTGCCCTGCCCCCCGAGCGCTGCCTCGGGACCGGCTGGCCCGCCAGATTGCCCGCGCCGGCCAGGTGTTGAGCGCCCTCGGCGACCGAATGCAATTGGGTTACGGAGGCCGCGGACAGGCGCGCCTGCAGCGGGGCAGAGGCCAGTGGCAGTGGAGATGCGCTTGAGGAGCGGGCCAGGGCCAGTGGCAGCGAGGCCAGGCAGAGGCCGGTGGCACTGGGGCGTCCGCTCGGGCCACGGGAGATGCGCCAGGCGGAGGTGGCGTTTGCGTCCACGCGTTCGCGCCCCAGACTAGGTCGCATCTGCTGCAGCCAGCGCGCGGCCGTGCAGCTTGGCCGCGACATCCAGATTATTTCATTGGAGTGGAAGCCCCAGGTCTCCGACCACAGGTCGGTGCTGTTCTCGCGCCGATTGTCGCAGCTACCCCCGACGGATGCCCGTCCTCTCAGTGACGCGTAGTTGGCGCGCCACCCCGATTTCGCGCGTCAGATCGGGCTGGGCAACCGCCAGAAGCTGGCGGAGTGCCCGGGCGCCTCCAGCTTGCGACGCGTGCTGATTTCCCAGGACTCCACATGGTTCGTGGCCGCTCACGGCCCGTCTCCCTCCTGGGCGCGCGCCAGAGGCGGTTGACCCCGAGGGCCGCCTTGGTGTAACCGTGAGATTCTCGAGGGCGGCGGAAGCTGGGGCGATGGGCTGCAGTTCCCGGCGCCTGGAGCGCCGCCCGCGCCTTCGTCCGCTGCCGCCGATTCCGCCCGACGTCAAGTGCACGGCCGCGCGCGGCCCCCAGCCCGTGAGGGACTTGGCGGTAAAGTTGGCGAGGGGGCATGGTCTGGGCGAGGCGGGGCGCGCCCGTCGGGGCTCCAGGCCAGGGGCAGCGCGCTCTCTTGTCGCAGGAAGCAGCGCGCGCAGCGCCTTCTCTCTCGTCTTCTCCCTGGGCAGCCTACAGGCGCTCGCGCTGTCCAGGATCACCTCGCAGAGCCTGCGGACATTGCCCCGGGCCTGGGCCGGCACTGGGGGGGGCGCCTCCAAGGCGCAGGGTGCGAACAGCGATTTATTTCGGGAATGGCTCGCGGAGGGCACCGAGCACCTCGAGACGCATGGCCCCGCTCATGCTGGCTTGGCCGACCTGCGACTCGCGCGGGGGCTCGCGCGGCGCGCCATCCGTTGCTCGAACATCTCCGCGCCGGGACCAGGCGGCATCCCTTATGCCGCACGGAGCGCTCTGGCAGACCTCGCGGTGGATGCTCTTTTCGACGCCGCGAGCGCACTCTGCTCCTAGGAGGCGCAGGCCCTGCAGGAGGCGGACCTTCCCGACCTCGACGCAAGCTTCTCTATCTTCGCACTCAAGAAGGCCAGAGGCACCGCGGACGACAGCCACCTCATGGCGAGCGCCATCCTTTTCTTGGCGGAGGCGGCGCTGGAATATCTGATCGCGAGCTCGCAGCGCGGCCTCTTTCAGGGACGCTCAGCAACCTTATCGACATCTTGGAATGCATGACCACGACGGGCCTGGAGCCGGAAGGGGGTGCTTGCTTTCTTTTTCGACTTCGCCGCGACCTTCCCGCCCGTGGAGCAGCTGGTCGGAGTTTGCTCCGCAGCCTTGGTTGGCCAGAGCGGCTTCTTTCATCTCGAGTCTCTACCGCGATAGCGCGTGCGAGATCTGCACTGGCGCGCCCGCTTCCCGGGCTCCCCCCTGGCGCGCGGCATCGGGCAGGGGTGCCCTTTTTCCCGCTAGTTCTCGCGGCGTGCTCCTACATCCTCTTGCGAAGGCTGGCCATGGACTTCCCGCGCCCTGTTCGGAGGGCGTTCGCCGACGACCTTGCCGCGGTGCGTGCGCGGGCGGGGGCTTGCAGCCTGTGTTCGACGAGTTCGCGCTGCTGTCTGGGCCCGCCTCGAACGCGGCCAATACTGCGGTCGCCCCAACAGACCCATTCGAGCAGGAACGGGCGCGATCCATCTTGTCTTCGAAAGCCCCGGGCTGGGCCAGGCCAACACGCTGATCGCGGACGCGGCCAAGCACCTGGGGGCCCACCTATGGCTGGGGAAGGGGGCGCGGCCCCGGGGCGAGCCCACGGCCAAGTCTCTTGCTTGCGCTGCCTTATAAACGCGCGCAGCCGGCTTATTGCCCGCGGCGCAGGCGTGCAAGGCGCGCATTGCATCGGCCATGCTTTTCGTTGGTCAGGTGGAACCCCTGCCTGGTGACATCGTGGATTGCGAACTCCGCGCCAACGGGAATCTGTTGACTGGGCCGCAGGACTGGGCGCCCATGGGCGCGCTCAAGGACGCGAAGGGCCCCGGGTTTCCGGTCGAGCTCCTTGGCCCGTGCTCGACGGTTGCGGCGAAGGCCAGGGTGGCCGGGAGGCAGGCGGCCAGCTGCAGATCAGAGAGCGGCACGCCAACCTACACTCCGTTTCGAACCATTCCGATGAAGCCTCTCTTGAACGCACCGGATGGCTGCGCCAATGGGTCAACGGGCGTATTCTTTCAACCCTTGCCGCTGAAGAGTCCGAGGCGCGCGCCGCGCGGGACCGGGTGGCGTCGCGCCCTCGTCGACGCCGGGGGGAGGTGGCAGCGGCGCGCCGTGGCGCAGCTTCGCGTTGCACGCTTCGGCACGGCAGCGGCCATTGCGCTCCCCCCGCTGGCCCGCAGCCTGTCGCGATGGCCTGTGCAGCTGTTTCCTCGCCCGCGCCCTGCCGCCGCTCTTCGCGGCTTCGCGCTCTGCGAGTCGCGGGGGAGACGTGTCAGCCGCGCGCCTGGGCTGCCGTTATGTGCCTGTGGTGTTATGGTTTGGTCGGTCTCAGAGGAGGACGATTATGTTAAAATCCACTAACCAGGTCAAAACCACATTTAGGGTTTTTTATGTTAAAAACCTAAACTATGTCAAAACCATACTTAGAAAAATGGGCTCGTCGCTGCTTCGGTGAGCACATTAGCAGCGCCATCCTGCAACGACCTCATCGCTTTCGCTTAGAAGTCTTGCGTGGGCATCGGGTGGGTCTTGGAAAGAAAGGTGTCCAGTCGTGGCGCAATTCTATGCGATGCTATGCGATGCAACGCAATGCAACAGTGATATGCTAAGATATGGTATGCTACGCGATGCAATGCTGCATGGTGCAATGCTACGCAATGCAATTTAATGCTACGAGGATTGCACATGTAGTTCTATGCTATGTTATGTTGTCCAGTACTATGCTATGCTATATTATGCTATGCTACGCGGGCTCCACCTCCCCCCCCTCCTCCTCCTTCCGTGCCAGCGCCGTGCAGGAGGAGGAGGCTGAGGAGGAAGGGAGGGGGGAAGGGGAGGAGGAGGAGGACGAGGAGGAGGAGAAGGACGAGGAGGGGAGGAGGACGAGGAGGAGGAGGAGGACGAGGAAGGAGAGGAGCGCCGCCACCGCCGCGGGGGGGCGTCGCCGCCGCCGCGGCGGGGGGGGCGCCCCGGCTTATTACGGGGACATCTTCACTGCGCAGGCGGCGCGCGCGCATTCGCGCGCGCGCCGGGCGAGCGCCGTGCGGGATGATGGCGAGGAGGAGAAGGAGGAGGAGAAGGCGGAGGAGAAGGATAGGCAGGCCTTCACTTGTTTTCCCCTCGCAGTGCTTCGTTCAAAGAGTGCCCACTTCCCCCTGCAGTGCTTGCGTTCAATGAGTGCCCACTTTCCCCATCGCAGTGCTTGCAATTAAATGTCGGTTTTCATGAATAACCGTTTGTGCTCAAACCATATCATGTGCCGATTTCCGTTTCAATGCAGTGGGCCGCTCAGATAGAGGCAGACCTCTTGGAGTTTGCAGATGATACGGCTGCCGAGCCATGTGCCTGGGCCGCTCAGATAGAGGCAGACCTCTCGGAGTTTGCAGATACACATGCCGAGCCAAGTGCCTGGGCCGCTCTGATAGAAACAGACCTGCAAGCAGCAGATGATACAGCAGACCTGCAAGCAACAGATGATACAGCAGCAGATGATACAGCAATTGTGGTATGCGACGGTGAATCATCGCGGTGGGCTCTGACGGCGTTGCACAGGGAATTGCGGAACCCCTCGGAGTTGGTGGCTGGTCGAGCGGTGGAGTCGATGGCATGGCTGATGAAGAACAACGGTTTCAAGTCTTGCAAGCGCCCCCCAAGGAGTTTCAAGTCGGAGTCGATGATCCAGCCGTCGCGGCGATCCCGTTTCGGAGTCGATGATCACAGCCGTCGCGGCGTCCTCGTCGTTCATATCGATGATGGCCCTGAGCGAGGTCCACGGCCAGAGCGAGTGGAAAACTAAATGCACGCTGACCCGTTTCTATTCGGCCTTGCACTTACTGATGTGGAGGCAAGGTTTGCAGATGGCGCGCCGTCTGTGCGCCAAGGTAGTCGAGGCGGGTGGAGAGCTTATCTGTTTCAGCGAGTTCGCATCTTACGACGAGACGCCTCTGCCAGTGAGGGTGCATGCCGAAGAGAACGTCGTCGTGAATGTCGGAGCACACGGCGCAGCAATAGTGGAACCAGGTCTTGACAATGTTGCGATCGTCACGTCGTCGTGAATGTCGGAGCACACGGCGCAGCAATAGTGGAACCAGGTCTTGACAATGCTGCGAGCGTCACGGCTGTGCAGGAGGAGCCCAAGGCAAAGATTCTGCAGACGGAGTTTCACATTTCGATGTTGGTGAAGGTTGGCTCCATTTACCGGGACGTCAGTTTGGAGTTCCCCTGCCCGTTGCAGGTCATGGACAGAGCCACGGGCGAGACCTACGTTCATTGCCTCGGCTGGCAGGGCAGGAAAGGCTTGGACGACATCTCTACCAGATCCATGCGGCGCGATCGGCACGTGATGAGCGATTCTGACAGTGCTGTGCTGCGGGGCGAGCGGTGCCTCGCTACTAAGCGCCCTGACGTTGGCGTGGCGCAGGGCTTCTGCAGGCTGCATCGCATTTCGGCGATTGCCTCCAGCGGGATCGACAAGTTTATGAAGGACGATGTCAGTGGAATTATCAACATAGCCTTATCGTTGAAGGCTTCGGGGGCCATGCGAGTATTTCGCCGCGCTCTCAGGGCAGTCATTCGTGCGCGACTTGTCGTGCTCAGGGGTTCGCCTGGTTATGTTGCAGATCGTCGCAGGGCTAAGCTGCTCGACGTCTTCTGTCCGATCCACCCTGGCAACCGCCCCTCTTTCATCGATAGGGCCATCGTGCAGCTCTGCGCCAATGGTAATTGGGACAACAAACAGAGATTCGAAGTCTATGTCACAGGTGAATACGACTACGAGGAGGTGGTTCATTACGTTTGCGTTCATTTCGTGAAAGTGGTGGCTGGACGTTGCTTCCGACCATACCCGAGGTCGCGATGGACAGGCGCAAGGGGTGCGCTGGAGAGGCTCGGGCTGTTGATGAATATCCATGGGTTGTTCCAGGAGGCATACGTGGTGTTCTGCAAGAGTTACAACGTGCGCGTTCCGCAGGAGCACCAGGGGCAGATGCTTCCGATCGTTGACGATGTTGACCAGACAGCCCAGAACTCCGAAGGGCATCTCCCCGTGGACCACAAGAGCGATGCCAATGCCCAGTTCATCAAGCAGAGGAAGCAGTACATGAAGGTCGGGCTTGAATTCAGTGTCTGCGTTTCGGCGCCAGCGAAGTTGGTCGTCATGACGATGGTTGTTGAGCCGCAGCAGGCTCTCATGCAATCTGCCATCGACTTGGCGGGCAAGGCGTGGGAGAGGAAGCAGAACGCTCGCCACGCGTATGCAGTGCAGCAGGGCTTGGACGCAAAATCGAGGCGGTTCAGAGTGCAGGAGGCGCACGGCGTCGCTCAGGAAACGAAGTACAAGGATGAGGTGACCGACTTGCTCGATGGGGCGAATGATGCGTGGGAAGCCTTGCCGCTAGCCAGTCGAACATCAAATACTCGGTGTCTAGCGTTCCGACTACTGGCGTTCGGGGCGGCCTATATATACTACGCCGTTACAAAAGTTCGTCACGTTTCATGAGAGCTTGAGGGTGGCATGGGTTTCGTGTCTTCCTTCCGCGTGAGCAAGCGGGCAGAGGCTGACCACTGCCCTGGCCGCACCGAGCTGGCCCCCCCTTCCCCCTTCGAATCCTAGCGGACTGAGTCAAGAGCGGTCGGATCAAAGATCGGGGATTTCTAAAAGTGGGATTTCCTCCCTTACTATAATAGTAGAGATTTAAAACGAGACATTTTGAACTCCCGATGTGAATTCACACGGTTCCAGAAATCCCACCGGGGCGGGATTTGTCTTTGCTTACGCAAGATGATCGACTTTTATTTTATGACGAAACTTTTGTAACGCCGATGAGGGGATCGACGCTCGCCGCGCGGTGTCTGACATACAAATACCGCTAGGGGGTCGACGCTCGCCGCGCGGTGTCTGAAATACCGCTGAGGGGATCGACGCTCGCCGCGCGGTGTCTGAAATACCGCTAGGGGATCGACGCTCGCCGCGCGGTGTCTGAAATACCGCTGAGGGGATCGACGCTCGCCGCGCGGTGTCTGAAATACCGCTAGGGGATCGACGCTCGCCGCGCGGTGTCTGAAATACTGCTGAGGGGATCGACGCTCGCCGCGCGGTGTCTGAAATACCGCTAGGGGATCGACGCTCGCCGCGCGGTGTCTGAAATACCGCTGAGGGGATCGACGCTCGCCGCGCGGTGTCAGAAATACCGCTAAGGGATCGACGCTCGCCGCGCGGTGTCTGAAATACCGCTGAGGGGATCGACGCTCGCCGCGCGGTGTCTGAAATACCGCTAGGGGATCGACGCTCGCCGCGCGGTGTCTGAAATACCGCTGAGGGGATCGACGCTCGCCGCGCGGTGTCTGAAATACCGCTAGGGGATAGGGGATCGACGCCCGCCGCGCGGTGTCTGAAATACCGCTGAGGGGATCGACGCTCGCCGCGCGGTGTCTGAAATACCGATAGGGGATCGACGCTCGCCGCGCGGTGTCTGAAATACTGCTGAGGGGATCGACGCTCGCCGCGCGGTGTCTGAAATGCCGCTAGGGGATCGACGCTCGCCGCGCGGTGTCTGAAATACCGCTGAGGGGATCGACGCTCGCCGCGCGGTGTCTGAAATACCGCTAGGGGATCGACGCTCGCCGCGCGGTGTCTGAAATAACGCATGAGGGGACGACGCTCGGCGCGGGTGTCTGCATACACATACCGCTAGGGGGTCTTTACGCTCGCCGCGCGTTCGTCTGAAATACCGCCTGAGGGGACGACTCTCGCGCGCGGTGTCTGAAATACCGCTTACCGGGGATCGACGATCGCCGCGCGGCGTCCTGAAATACGATGAGGGGATCGACGCTATTTGTTCGCCGCGCGGGTCTGAAATACCGCTAGGGGCGATCGACGCTCGCCGCGCGGTGTCTGAATACTGCTGACGGGGATCGACGCTTCGCCGCGCGGTGTCTGAAAATCGCCGATAGGGATCGACGCTCGCCGCGACGGTGTCCGTGTCGGAAATACCGCTGAGGGATCGATCCGACGCTCGCCGCGCGGTGTTCTGAACTTACCGCTAGGGATCGACGCTCGCCGCGCGGTGTCTGAAATACCGCTCCGCCGTTACAAAAGTTCGTCACGTTTCATGAGAGCTTGAAGGTGGCATGGGTTTCGTGTCTTCCTTCCGCGTGAGCAAGCGGGCAGAGGCTGACCACTGCCCTGGCCGCGCCGAGCTGGCCCCCCCTTCCCCCTTCGAATCCTATCGGACTGAGTCAAGAGCGGTCGGATCAAAGATCGGGGATTTCTAAAAGTGGGATTTCCTCCCTTACTATAATAGTATAGATTTAAAACGAGACATTTTGAACTCCCGATGTGAATTCACACGGTTCCAGAAATCCCACCGGGGCGGGATTTGTCTTTGCTTATGCAAGATGATCGACTTTTATTTTATGACGAAACTTTTGTAACGCCGATGTATGTGAAGCTGGTTCGGCCCAGTCTGAATTTCCCCAATCGCACGTACCGGCTTGCCTTCGATAGCATTCGAGATAACGACATGTCCTACATGGGTCGGATGCTGGGCATGTGCCCGAGGTGCCGTTTCGACCCCTGGACGTTGAAGCTCGTTGAGCACTACGGCGATGACATCTGCACCGAGCGCGCCGTCATCGACGTTGTCACCAGGGCAATGCACGAGGAAGTTGACAATGCGAGAAGGGAGGCTACTCATGCGAGCATCCGTCGGGACGTGATCAAGGCGTCATGCCAATCGCCAACGATAGAGCTCGGTTTGGCCAGCGGCCGCTTCGTGGACAGGAAGGGCAAGCAGATCTGCGACTGCAAATCCCTGGAGGCCCGCGGCGATGACCAGACTGGGGAGGCTAGCGGCACCGAGGAGCCAGCGCCGAAAAGGTCCAGGGGGCCATGTGGAGGCGCATGCAGGGCGTGGCTGAGCGAGCAGCTCCGAGGCGTGCCCAGAGCGGAGCAGGACCTCAAGGGCATCCACGACGCGTACAAGCAGCAGACGCCAGAGGAGAGGCTTAAATACACTAAGGATGGAGCTGCAGCCACGCAAGCTGGTCGAGAAGGAGTTGCAAAACCATTCGGCCCCGATGCTCAGGATGTTCAGAGGGCCTTGCATCGCGATGCGCGCCGCGAAGAACTGCGGGTGATGAAGGAATGCGTTGCCGACCGCATGAGGGCGCAAGTACATGACGAACAGCAGCCGCCGCATTTGTCATATTCGAGCTTGGCTGTGCTGCCCACTGGTGCTAATACATTCGCCTGCATTGCAGACGGCGTCGCACAGGCCCGCAGGACCAGGCACATCGCAGACAAGAAGCGCGCGCTGGAACAGAAGCTTTACGACGAGGCCTTGGCGGCGCATACAGGGCAATCTGATGTTTCGGCCGAGACATTGGAAGTTGTTTCTGGCGTCTGCATGTCGGGTTTGCCACTCACTACGGCATGGGAGCACCGACCCCCTTTAACTTCGACGGTCAAGTCAGCTTGCTGGATGCCTCGGTCAGCCAGAGATTTGGCCAAGCTCGTGGCGAGCCTAGACTCGTCGTCCAATCCCGCTTGCAGGCGCATTGCTTCGGTCCTGGACTCGGATTGGGAGACGCGCCACCTCGTCGTCCAGCATGACAAGTGCGAACAGTTCGGCAAGATGCCAAATACACGCTCGACGTGTTGGATTATCAACCGCTGCTGCTGCCGCGGGGATAAACTTCTACTTAAGGCCATGGTGTCTGGACTGTACGCGTGCCTCAGTCGAGATTTTCCGACAGGTAAGCCTGCTAGACACGATCTGCAGCAAGGTTGGTTTGTCGCGTGCATCGTCAGTCGGGCGCCTGAGCCATTGGCGGAGGAAGAGGCGGAGGATCACGTCACTCAAACATGGTGGTTGCACATTTCGTTTCAGAGCCTGAGCCCTTTATTTGCAGTGTATACGGGCATGTGCTCAGACAGTTCCATCGAGGACGACTTTGTCAAGCTCGAGGCCGAGGAGGCCATTTGCTGCGACTACGACGTTATGGATAACATAAGGGATGAAGTTGGATACGGGGCTGCGTTGCATCGCCGATATTATCGCCTCATCGCTTCTGAAGCCCTCGTCGGCGCGACCCAGCCGAAGTTCCAGGAGGCGCGCGCTGTCGGGGAGGAGCTGTGCTTTTGGCTTGGGTCGGTGATTTACAAGAGATCGGCTGCCTTCCTAAGGTCGTGCAGGGTTGCGCTTAAGCCTCTGACGTTGTTGGGTGGTGTGTGGGGGGCTCTCGTTATCCTCAAGAGGGGGGTGTATCGGTAATTCCCAACATTTTGCGCTCTTCTCAGGTCGCAAGCAGCTGCTCGCGGTGGCGCCCCTGGGCACGGCGGTGACCTGCACGGCGCCGAGGGCGAGGGTGCAGAGGTTGGCATCGACAACGGGGACGAGCACAAGGACCATGGAGACCTCGACGTTCACGTCGACGGCATCCACGGCGAGGGCTCCGAACCTAAAGGGAGTGACGACGAGGAGGACTCAGAGGATGAGCAGGGGGATCCTCGTGGTGGCGGAGGCGGAGGCGGTGACCCTCCTGGTGGTGGCGCCCACGGTGGCGGAGGCGGTGGTCCTCCTGGCGGAGTCGACGGCGGTGGCCCCCCTGACGGAGGCGGCGGCGGTGGGCCAGGGGGTCTGCATGTCCCTGCTGAAGTGCACCTCAACATCGGATGCGGCGAGATCGTGTACTACGCGACCACCCAGAGGTTCGTGGCCTACTGCAGGGACTGCGGGCACGCCAAGTGCAGTCGTGAGCGGACGGCGCTTGCAGGGAACCGGGCCGCCACAGGTCGGCCTGTAGGCTTCTTGGCGGCCTGGCTCTTGGACGGCCACAACTGGACGGATAAGCCTAACCACTGTGGAATGTGCATCTCCACCATGACCTACAGGATGCGCCAGAACGCGCGCGGCATTGTCGAGCGCATGGCACAGATCGGCGACGTGAATGCCCTTCGCACATTGGCATGCGAACGGGCGCGCAGGCATGGAGAGGGGCCCGAGCCTGATATGCAGCCCTAGCTTTCATCGTGTGTGGAGAGTGCCGCAGTACAAACATTATTCCACTATCATTCTTCACATCAGGGCAAACGCTATGCCATGAAGTGTTATGATATGCTATGCACTGCTGAGCTACGCTATGGTTCAGGGCTCATTAGGGGCTCTCGGTCCATTTGGGTGTCCATCGGTGTCTCTCGGTGCACCTTCCCTCTTGCATCCCTGATCCCTCAATCCTCCTTCTCCCATTCCCCCTCTGAGGTCCCAGAACTGAGCACTCGCGGGGTCCCATTCCAGGCCCTCTCGGGGGGCTCCTGACATCCTGGGCAACTTGAGAGGACCATCGATAATGTGTGCTTTCGTTCTTCCCTAGGCTTCCTGTTCACCCCATGGGATCATAACCCACCCGATCCATTCATATACGGTTCTACCAAACCTACTTTCACATCGTATCATAGTATGTGTACATTGTATTAGGCGTACCATGCCAAAGCACAGCTTAGCATAACCTATCCTGCCGTTTCATAGTACGCACTGTCGCGTTCCATCATATTGCGCAGCACCATCTGTTTTTAGAACTGCAGATTCTCTGCGCCATAGGCTATGGGCTCGACTCGAGAAGGGTGTAAATCGATCGAGAGAGCATGGCCCAGATCCGTGTAGGTCCCGACACTCCCTGCCGCAATGATGTCGCGCTCCAGTCGGTCAGGGAGCACGCGAGGCCCTCAAGTGGAACGACGAACTCCCTCGGCGCAGAGCAGGTCGTGAAGGGGCGCCGCTCCACCCCTCCCCGCGGCCGCTGCATCGCGAAGGGGCAGCCTACGCTCGAGGAGCGCCGCCAGGAGGACCGTCCGCTGGTTCCTCCGCCCATCGAGGCCGTCCGCGCCACGTTCTACGGGGGCAACCTGTCACCGCGCACCTTCTGCACGCCTGGGAAGTGGGAACATGGCGAGGCTGCAGGCTTAGAGCTGCATGACGCTCGCACGCACGCACGCACGCACGCACACACGCACACACGCACACACGCACACACGCACACACGCACACACGCACACACGCACACACGCACACCCACACACCCACACCCACACACACACACACACGCACACACGCACACGCACACGCACACACACACACACACGCACACACACACACGCACACACACACGCACACGCACACGCACACGCACCCACACACGCACACACACACACACACACACACGCACACGCACACGCACACGCACACACACACAATGCTATGCTGTGCCACCAGTGCCGCGTTGAGGTGCGTCGTTGTTGATGCGGTATCCCAAGTGCATGAGCTGCTACGCAGTGATTTCGGAAGCGCTGCATGCTACGCTATGCTAGGCCGTGCGGTGCTATGAAAACGCGGTATGACATATTATGGTTTGCTCTTTTGTTTTGATTCCTTTCTTTTTTTTTATTCTGGTGCTTCTTTCTTTTCTTCTTTTTTTTATATTATTTTTATTCGCATTCTTTTCTTCTATCGTTTTCTCTCTCGTTTTTTTTTTTTTTTCCTTTCTTCTTCTTGTCCGTTTCTCTTTTCCCTGTTTTCTCTATTCTCTTAGTCTCTGATTATGTTTGTTTTCTCTTCTTTCATATCTCGTTTTTTTCTATCTGCTATGCCATGTAAGGATTTGCGATGGTTTATCGCAAACGCGGCGGGCTAGGCGTAATATGTTATACTATGCGATGCTATGGATTGCGGCGATGGTATGCTAGGACGGCGACGACGACGAAGACGAGTACGAGGACAACGTCGACGACGGCGACCGCGACGACGACGGCGAGGACGACGACGACAATGACGACGACGCCGACGACGACAGCGACGACGCCGACGACGACGACGTCGATGGCGGCGGTGGTTACGACGAGGACAGCGACGACGACGACGACGACGACGACGACGATGACGACACGAGGCAGTGAGGGAATTTCGGCCCCCACGGGGGGGGCAGAAGTTCGCTCAGACGACGATGACGGACGACGACGACGACAAAGCCCCGAAGCCTCGAGCAGCTACAACAACGGCGGCCTCTGCTTGATACTTCCTCACACATTGTTCGCCCCCCCCCCCCCCGCTCCCCAGAACTTGGAGTTGATGAATGATGGGTCGACCATGCCAAGTCAAGTGTGCCCTTGTCGTATGTTTAATGTAATCGGAGTCTCCTTTTCGGCATGCCCTCTGGCATGGTCACAGTATGGTCTTGGGTCCTCTCGGGTGTCTTGTCGCATCACTCCGTCTGGCCCTTTCGCAGATTCCAGCACCTCCGCAGCCATTTGGGCTTAGGTGCTGCCGGGCATTACCTGGCCAGATAGTCACACAAAGTCTACGGTGTGTTTTCTTTGCCCCAGCTGACGGGGCCAGTGATCCACATGGACATGGGCATGGCGTCAAGCAGCGCTAGCCCAGCGAGCGGCGCGCAGCCAGCTATGGCACAACCTGTTGGTGCTCCTTTCCATTTGCATGGGTGGGTGGCGTCAGACATTGACACGGGCGTGCTCGAGGTGCACGGAGCAGCTCGCTTGCGATCGATGGGCGTGGAAATCAAGAAGCTCGACATCTTCGAATTACATCGGGGGGACTGGCTCACCCAGGTGCCGAGCCTCATCTTCATGTCCAACCTATGCCCTCCGACGGGCCGTAGGGACTACTTGCAGTGGCTTTTGAAGAAGTACTTGCAGTGGAACCCGAGCGCATCAGAGCGCAGGCTGCACTACGAGGTCATGTGCTTCGAGGCGGTCATCGCACAATGTCCATCTGCGTCTGTTGTGACCATCATGCGGTCGAACGAAGCTCGCCGTGGCGGGGGCACTCCCGTCGTCGAGGCCCAGATGGGGCACGTGCCTGGCTACGTTCCCAAGGAGTGCAACCATGATGCGGGAGACGACCTGAGGCCTCTGGGCGGCGGCGGGACCAACAGAGTGCGCATGAAGCTCCACGGCCCCCTCAGGCCGAACGATTTCATCTCGCCAAACGGTGACGGCAGCATCAACGTAGTTGCGCTGTGTGCTGCAGCCACGGCGAATCGGATGAAGGTGCTGTTCCTTGGCGAGTGGGACGGGTCATTGTCCCTCGGGTGCGCGGTTGGATGCATGCACCACCAGACGCTCGATCGGGAACTGGGCATCGGAATGGTCTTTGATCGGGGCATCGTGCCAAGGCGTTCGTTGAACAACCAGCGCCCATCCACATACAAGGAGTTCTACGAGTACGCGATGCAGTACCGCGCGGTGCAGATCGTCGATGAAGCGACGCGCATGAATGCTCCTTGGCCTGAGGACTGGGAGGACAGACTCAATCCATACGTCGGCCTCAATACGGCGTGCATGTGGCATTGGGCGCAGGTCTGCACCGACGCTAATGGCCTGTCCTTGGTTTTCAGTGCAGCTCAGAGTTCCATGGGGGCAGGTCCGATCAATCCTTGAGCGCTTTGGGTGGCAACTCAGAATCGACACGTTCTTCATCCGCTGATGTTCTTAGCATTTTGTATGTTCATTGGCAGCGCTCAGTGCATGATGATGCTCGTCTTTTGGTCTCCAGCCCGACTAGACACCATGGTGGATTCGTCAACTGCTTCTCTCAGCACGGTGTACGCTCAATGGCGGCGTCGAGATTGTCTGGTGTCCTCTCAGTGCGAATGGACACATCGGCGGTTTCGTCAACTACTGATCGTGCGTGTGCTTTGTTCAGTGGCGGTGTCAGGAATATGGCGGCTCGCTCTGGGATTGCCTCAGTGTACATCGCCACAGTTGTAGGTGCACAACGTTCTGTATATTGCAAATAATGAAAAAGTACTTGTCATGCGTGATCAGAGAGCCTAGTCCAGTTTCTGGCTTCTCAGCGTGGTTTCGCAGTGCTTGCCGTGTTTGGAGTGGGTTTCCTTGAGACTTGTGTAAGTGAAGCTCAGTGAAAGGGCATCGTGATCAACAGTTGTGGTTTGTCGTGCGACGCTGACCAATGCTAACAGCTGTGGTATGCCAGTGCCGTCCTATGTTATGCAATGCTCTTGGAAGGGCTGCGTGCTATGCGATGCTGTGCGATGATATGCAAACGTGCTGATATATCATATAATTCGATATGATATGATGTGCCATGCTGTGCTATGATATACCATGCAATGTTTTGCCATACTGCGCAGTGCAATTCAATGAGCCGACATGAGCAAACTCGGTCATCTAAGCTATACTTCCACGTGGTGTACGATGTTCCAATGTGATGTACTATTCATAAGCAGTTCGTAACATTGTATGAGAAGTCGTTGCATGGCATAGCAAAGTGACGCACAAACTTTCGCAGCACGTTTGCAGAACATTGCATTGCGTAGTATAGTGCAGCATGCAGCGTTTCCAGAACCCTTTTTATATCAGGGCATGTCGGGCGTAACACGTCAGCCACAACATGCCGCAATGTCGCATTGAGGGCATGGCATAGCATTGCAAAGTGAATGACATGGGCAGCAGGTCATGGCATGCATTAGCATGTATCTTATAGTTTGATGGCAGTAGTCGCATTGCACTGCATCTCATTGCATGTAGCACTGCATGGCATGCAGCGCGTCTGTATGGAGCCAGCCTTGCGTCGCAACGTATAGCATAGCATGGTGCGCATACTCATGCTAATATATGCTGTGATAAACGGTGCTATGATATGCTACGCCATGCTGTTTCCTGCAGCGTTGTAATGCAATGCTATGCTATGCTACGCTATGCGGTGATGCACTATGCTACACAATGCAGCGCCACGCCTTACAGGAGGAGGAGAGGGAGGAGGAGGAGGAGGAGGAGGGGAGGGAGGGAGGAGGAGGAGGAGAGGGAGGAGGAGGAGGACGAGGAGGGGAAGGAGGGGAAGGCGGGAGGAAGTGGAGGAGGCGATGGGGGCGAGGGCGGGGATGATGATGATGAGGAGGAGGAGGAGGAGGGGCGCCGCCGCCGTCGGCCGGGGGGGGAGGGGCGCCGCCGCCGCCGTGGGGCGGCGGCGCCCCGTTATTCCGTGGAGGTCTTCACTGCGCAGGCGCCGCGCGCGTCCGTGCATTATGATGATGAGGAGGCGGAGGAGGCGGAGGAGGAAGTGAAGGGGGCGGTGTGAGGAGGAGGAGGCAGGATGAGGAGGAGGAGGAGGAGGAGGATACGGGCGATGAGGAGGAGGAGGAGGAGCTTAAACGACCCCCAAACCACCCCCAAACCACTCCCAAACCACCCCCAAACCACCCCCAAACCACCCCCAAACCACATCCAAACCACCCCCAAACCACTCCCAAACCACCCCCAAACCACCCCCAAACCACCCCCAAACCACCCCCAAACCACCCCCAAACCACCTCCGAACTACCCTCCTTATCCTCGTTCCTTCCTCTTCTTCTCCCCCTTGTCTTCCTCACTCCTCACTCCCTTCTCCTCCTCCTCCTCCTCCTCATCCTCATCCTTATCCTTTGAATGTGTTGGGGTGTTTGATGGGATACCTTTGAGGGTGTTTGAGGGTCATCGTCATGCCGAGTGGGTGCCTTTGAGGGTGTTTGAGGGTCATCGTTGTTGGGGGTAGGTACCTTGGGGGGTGCCTGTTGGTCATGGGGGGTCCTTCAAACCTATCCTAGAGGTGGTTTGGAGGTGGTTTGGGGATGGTTTGGGGGTGGTTTGGGTCGCGCGCTGTTTCATACCCCGGGGGGGCATGGAGTTCGGTGGCGTCTTTTGGGGTGCTTGGGAGGCTTGGGAGGGGGTAGGCGTCTCAGATGGGCATTGCAAAAGTGGCAGCGTGGTTATTTGCGTCAGCGCCGCGAACTTGCGATGATGATGTTGTTGCTCGGCGACGCTTGGAGGTGGTCCTTCTCGGGGTGGTTTGGGGGGTGGGTTGGGGGTTGTTGGGGGTGGTTTTGGGGGTGGTTGGGGGTCGTTTCGGTTGTCCCGCGCGCGCTAAGTAACCCCCCTAACCCCCCCCTCCCGCGTGCGCTAAGTACCCCCCCGTCGCGCGCTAAGTACCCCCCTCCCGCGGCGTGCGCTAAGTACCCCCTCCCGCGTGCGCAAGTATCCCCCCCCCTCCCCCCCCCCCACCCCCCTTCCCGCGTGCGCTAAGTCCCCCCCCCCACCTCCCTACCTCCCCCTCCCGCGTACGCTAAGTGCGCTAAGTGCCCCCCTACCCCCGCTCCCGGCGTTGCGCTAAGTTGACGACTTCTTCTCGCCCCCCCCTCCCGCGTGCGCTAAGCGCCCCTCCGCGCGCTAAGCACCCCCCTGCCCACCCCCCTCCCGAGGCCGAAGGGGAGGAGGAGGAGGAGGAGGGGAAGGAGAAACGGGAGGAGGAGAAGGATGATACAGGGGAGGCGGAGGAGGCTCCTTGATGCTCGTGTAGGGCCGTCGTGGGGCCCTCAGGGGGCTTGAAGCCCTCTTGGATGGAGCCCTCCAGAGCGCTCTTGAGGCTCTCTCGGGGCATCTTGAAGCCTTCTTGGGGCCCTCTTGAGGCTCTCTTGAGGCCCTCTCGGGGCTTCTTGAGGCTTCTTGTACCGGTTTGAAGCTCTCTGGGGGCCTCTTAGGGCGCTCTTGGGGCATACGAGGCCCTCTTGGGGCAATCTCAAGCTCCCAAGACTTCCCTGAGGCTCTTGTGCGGCCCTCATGGGCCCCCCTGGGGGCTTCCTGAACATCTCTTGGAGCCCTCTTGAACTCTCTTGAGGCTCTCTTGGGGCATCTTGGAACCTTCTTGGGGCCCTCTCTTGAGGCTCTCTTGAGGCCCTCTCGGGGTTTCTTGAGGCTTCCTGAGCCCGATTGAGGCTCTCTTGGAGCCTCTTGCGGCTTTCTTGGGGCATATAATGCCCTCCTGGGGCATTCTCAAGCTCTCAGGGCCTTCTTGAGGCTCTTGTACGGCCCTCGTGAGGCCCTCTTGGGGCTTCCGCAACCTCCCTTGGAGCTTTCCTGAGCGCTCTTGAGGCTCTCTTGGGGCACCTTGAAGCTTACTTGGGGGCTTCTTGAGGCTCTCTTGAGGCCCTCTCGGGGCTTCTTGATGCTTCTTGGGCCCTCTTGAGGCTCTCTGGGGGCCTCTTGGGGCCCTTTGGGTGGATAAAAAGCCCCTCTGGATGGCCTGTGCGTTTTGCTTGTTGCTCCCCCTCGCAGTGCTTGCACTTCCCTGTCGCAGTGCTTGCACTTCCCTCTCGCAGTGCTTGCACTTCCCTCTCGCAGTGCTTGCACTTCCCTCTCGCAGTGCTTGCAGCACTTCCCTCTCGCAGGGCTTCCCGTTCGCAGTGCTGGCACTTCCCTCTCGCAGTGCTTGCACTTCCTTGTCGCAGTGCTTTTACTTCCCCTCGCAGTGCTTGCACTTCCCTCTCGCAGTGCTTGCACTTCCCTCTCGCAGTGCTTGCATCACTTCCCTCTCGCAGCGCTTCCCGTTCGCAGCCCATTTCACCTCGAATTCTTTGAGTTCCATACTTGACAAGTTCTGTAGAGTTCCATACTTGACGAGGTCTGTGAAGTTCAACATAGTTCCATACTTGACGTGTTCGGTTGAGTTCCATTCTTGACGAGTTCGGTTGAGTTCCATACTTGACCAGTTCCGTTGAGGTACTCATGGCTCCGAAGAGGGTGCCGAAACCGAAATGGTTGCAAACACCGAAGAAGCCGCAATGGCTTCGAGTGAGCCCGAGAACCCGTCTCAGGTTCATGAAGCTGATGGAGCAGATCAAGATCAAAACCATGGTGATCAAGACTCTCGGTGCCCGGCTTCGCAGCCTCAAATGTGCAGCTCGCGGTGGGGTTCACCATTTGCAGAACGCCATCACGCGGGATTCGGACCACGATAGGCTGAACCAGCAGATCCTGGAGCGAATGGATGACGAGATGTCCACGGACACGGATGGGATCTCCACTGGATCTGAGCGAGGGCGAGATCTCCACTGATGTTTGACGAGTTCGTTTGAGTTCACACTTGACGAGTTCGGTTGATTGCCATAGGAGCGAACACTTTCCACGCGGCGACTGTCAGAAGGTTGCCGTGCTCATCTCGTTTCGGTTTTCCCAGTGTTCTGTAAAATTGTGCCCGCGTCGAGCCGAGTGTCAGCCTTCGGCATCATGGCTTGCTTGCTGCATTGCAGACTGGCTGGCTTCGCCACCACTGGGGCTGCCATATCTGGAGCCGTTGGCCTGTTCAGAACAAGCATCGCTACCATCGCCATCACCATCGCCATCACTACCAATGCCACTACATAGTAGGTTGCGCCATAGGGTAATAGTAGGTTGCGCCATAGGCTAATAGTATGTTGCGCCATAGGTTGCGCCATAGGTCGCGCCCTCCGTTGCTGCCTCTGTCCCTGGGAGGTTTATGGAGGAGGCGGGGGAGGAACATGCAATGCCAAACGGCAACCGCCGCCAGCCCCCCGCGGGTTGGTGCCTGGGGACGCAGGAACGCCATGCCAGGGGCCCTCCGTTTGAGGGCAGCGGTTCGGGGGAGGAGGAGGTATTCAAGTAAACTATTCAAGTAGGCTATTCAAGTAGGCTGTTCAAGTAGGCTCTTTGGGGGCTGTGCTATTCAAGTAGGCTATCGTGCGTTCCCCTTGCCCGTGTGTCGCGCCGTGCCGTGCCAGGTGGTGCTGTTTGGGGTCAACGTGTCCGTTGAGCTGTTTGGGGTCTACGTGCCCGTTAGAGTCTACGTGCCGTGCCGTGCCAGGTAGCACTGTTTGGGTATCTTTGCGATCCGTCAGTCGCCCATTTCATCTCAAGAACTTGACGAGTTCCCATAACGTTCCATACTTGACGAGTTCCCATAAGTTCCATACTTGACGAGTTCCCATTGCGTTCCATATTTGACGAGTTCCATTCGCGCCATGGCCGAGGCAGCGTCTTCAGCGGCTTCGAAGGCACCAGCGGCTGAGGAAACAAAAGGGTTCAAGATTCGGGAGAGGATACCGGTGGTCACTTACCGTTCGGACGATTTGCCGTGGAATTACCAAAAAGATGTCATGGTGGAGTACGAGGTGGTACAGAAGCAGAGGTTAGTGATCCAGCTTCGGTCCAAGCGGGATCCGCCCGCTGACACATCGCAGAAGCGGCGCGATCTGCTCAAGCGCCTGAGGGATGACAGCCCGAAGCCGACGCCGCCTCAGGAGAAGGGATCTATGAAAGTGCGGAGGTGCTCTCCAGTGAGCAAGGCAGAGGAAGGCGAGGAGATAAACTCGTCGCAAGAGGATGTTGCCAAGGAGAAGAAGGACGTTACCAAGGAGAAGGAGGTGGCGCTGGAGGCCCCGCCGCGAGCAGTTACCGTGTTGCCAGAGCAGGGTGCGACGCCCACGGTGGTGGAGGGCACGGACGAGATCACGGTCGCGGGCGCGTCGCTCCTTTTATTTTTTTTTTTTTTTTTATTTTTTTTGTCTCTCACCGGGCATTTTGTTTTTTTTATTTTTTTTGTGCTTTATTTTTATTTTTTTTTTGTCTTATTCTTTATTTTTTATCTTTATTATTTTTTGTTTTTTTTTTTTCTTCTTTTTTTTTTTTGTCTTTCTTTTTCGACGAGGCTCTTCACGGCCACGGTGGTGAATCGTGTCCGCCAGACGTCGCTCGAGAGAGTTCCCGTCTCGCCCTCGCGTCGCAGATCTTAGAGGAGGATATCCCCTCGCCCGCATCTCCCAAGAACTCGAAGGATAAGAACGACGGCCTTTTCGAGGATTCGGATGACGCCCCCGCCAGGAAGACGCTCAATGACATTCTCCGTCGCATTGGCATCAACCCTGCTGACGTTAGCAGCCATGTGGTGGATGTCAGCCAGGAGTCGCAGTCGTACTGATCTTCCAAACTCGGGCCGATCCCGTTTTCGAGGGTCGGGACTTGCTGTGCTCAATTCGTTGTTATTTTCGTATCTTGCGCGCCTAGAGCCGACCTCAGTATCGGCCGTGAGAGCCGACGTTTGCCAGTAGCCACTGGTGCTCCGTCGGATACCTCAGAGAAAACATCATGTTCAAGCTGTTGTCGTAGTCGGGCACTACCGTCATCATCATCATCGTCGTCGTCGTCACTACCATCATCGCTACCATCATCATCATCACTACCATCACAACTACCATCTTCATCATTGCCACTACGATCGCCATCACCACTATCACAATCACCGCTACTACCATCTTGGCCACAAGCATGCCGCCATCACAATCACCACCATTGCGACCATCGCCACAACGAATGACCACTACCATCATCATCACTACTGCACTGCCATCACCGCCATCACCATCGCTACTGGATCACGGGGCACTCGTCACAAGCATCGCCATTGCCATTGCCTCTGAAGAGTCGGTCGCAACCCAGTCTGTTTCAAGAGCTGAGTTGGCTCAGAGCCATGCGCGCGCGGAACGTATCGGCCAGATTTGTAGTTCGGCTTTCTGCGATGCCACCGAAGCACCAGCTTCAGCCCATAGGGCGCCCAAATTGGGTTGATCGGATCGAGGATCGCGTGCTCAAGAAGCGCTTTCTCACGCTGCTCAGGAAGCTCAAGTTCCAGAAGCTCAAGACTTGGCGTCTCTCAGTCAGGAACCGCGTGATGCGCACCAGGTTGAACGCGATCTCTAACGCGTCGCAAGTAGCCCTGACAGCAGACGACGTGGCGGCCGAGAATGACTTGGAGCATCTAAACAGGATCAGGGACCTCCCACTTGACCTCCCACAGGATCAGTAGCCCTCAATATACGCTTCCCCTTTGCCGCTGATGCCGTGTATGGGCTGCGTTCAGCGTAGGGCCATCGTGGGCAAGCGTTCGTGTATAGGGGCATCTCCAGCAGAGAGATAACCACACAGCCTGACTCGAGTAAGGCATTCGCGTGATGAGCCAGCACTTGGCGCGCATTGCACGCCCCTTCTGTTGGAAGCCGCGGAGAAAAGATGGCGAGCGATGCAGTCGTCGTCTTCATCGCCGTCGCCTCCTGGATAGGAGGTGCAGAGGCGACGCAACCGCCGCTGCCGTCATCATCGCCACTGCCATCGGCCCTCCATACCACCACCACCGCCATCTCCAGCATCACAGCTAACATAGCCACCACCGTCATCCTCACCACGACCGTCATCATCGCCTCCATCACCACAGTACCACTACCATCATCAACAGCAATACCATCACCACTAGCACCACTACCATCATAACCACTACCATCACCACTACACCTACCGTCACCACTACCGTCGAACTCAACCACGATAAGCACAACTCTCATCACCACTACCATCACCGTCACCATCACAATTACACTTACCATCACCACTACATTCATCTTCACCGCTCTCGTTACTGTGATTGCCATCACCAATAACATTATCATCGCACCAGTACCATCACCATCACCATAACCATCATCATTACCCTCACAACTACCATCGCCATTGCGACTACCTCCACCACTGCTATAATCATCCCGTTGTCTGGGGTCCACGCTGTCTGGGTCCATGCTGTCTGGGGTCCGCGCTATTTGGGGTCCATGCTGTTTGGGGTCCCTGCTGTCCGGTGTCCACGTTGTTTGGGGTCCATCAATTCTGTTTGGGGTCTTTGCTGTTTGGGGTCCACGCTGTTTGGGGTCCACGCTGTCTGTGGTCGTCCATGCTGTCTGGGGTCCACGCTGTTTGGGGTCCATGCTGTTTGGGGTCCCTGCTGTCTGGGGCCCACGCTGTTCGGAGTCCATAAATTCTGTGTTGGGTCTCTGCTGTTTGGGGTCCACGCTGTTTGGGGTCCTCGCTGTCTGTGGTCTCTGCTGTTTGGGGTCCACAGCTAAGCTAAGGTGCCATTCCTGTAGACCGACCCCGAACGAGTCTGGTTGCGCATTCGACGCGGCAGTGGCGACTGCTCATAGGCGTTTCGGCCCTAGAGTTCTCACGACACCATCGTTTCGCTCGGGGCCGAACCCCCGCGTGGCGGGAGCCAGAGTCTGAACGGGGCCATGGGGGGCAGCGGTCGCGGCCGCGGCAGCAGGGGCCAGAAACGACCTGAACCAGCGTCAGATTCCGAGCCCCCGAAGAGGGCTGAGCCCAAGAAGCCTAGAGCGCGCGCCTTGGCGCGCGCACCATCGGCGGCGGCTCCGTCTGTCGCGGGCACGACGAGGGGTTCCCGCGGCAAGAGGAAGCCGAAGTGCGACTTCTGCGGCGAGTGCCAGGACGGCGGCCAGGAGACCAGGGGAAAGGGTCCAAACAACGGGCGCGGGGCACCCTCTTGAGCCGTATGGAAGCCCTTCTCTGGCTTCCCCTGGGCCGTTTTGGAAGGGTCTTAGGGGTGTCAAGTTGTTTGCGGCAGTCGCGGGCCTCAAACCGGTACCTCGACTGGTTTGGGACCAGATTCTCGGGCCTCCCTTGGGACGTATTGGGGGTATCTTGGGCCGTCATGGGCCGCTCTCCTGGGGCGTCCTGGATGTCTCCTGGTCTGTGTTGAAGCGTTCTGGAGGCCACTTCTTTAGCTTTTCGAACGTCTGGGGCCGTCCTGGAGCCTCTTAGGCCGTCCTGGGCAGTCTCGGAGTTCTCTCGGGGGCCTCATGAGCCGTGCTGGGGCCCTCCTGGGGCCTCTTGGGCCCCTCGGGCCGCCTTAGAGTCATCGTCGGAGGCCGTCTTGAAGCAGCTCGGGCCGTCTTGAGGCCATGGTGGCTCGTCTTGGAGCGCGTGTGGACCCTCTCGAAGCTTTTTGGAGCTGGCAGGGTCTTGGCTGCCATCATTGTGACTTGTGACACAATGGGCGCTCTCTCGGAGCGTTGTTTCGAGGCCTCCAGAGGCCGCATTCCAGAGGCTTCGAGAGAAAAAATCGGTGCGCGTTGGATGTGAGACCAGAAGACTTGCCAATTCAACTCCCTCCCTCCCCTAAGTCCGCTTCCATTTCATGTTTGAATTGCGCCCTGCCCGCAGTACTTCGACAAGGACGCCTGCATGAAGTGCTACCGCCACTGGAAGAACCACCACGGCTACATCCCGAGGGCAGATGCCGTGAAGATGTACCGAGAGGACGACTGCTTCAAGGAGTGCTGGAACAACGGCATGAAGGCCGAGGCAGACGGGTCCATCTCGCTCACGGTCGGCGAGGGGGAGGTGACATCCAACAAGAGGTTCCGCGTCGTGTACCGCATGTCCTTCCTCCCCCTCAAGCACGGCGAGTTCAAGGCCAAGTTCGGCGTCTCCCCCCACGCGCTCAAAGTGAAACCCACGAGCGTCACTGACCTCGATGGCAAGGCTCGGAGCGTCTACCTGGTGAGGAACCCAGCGAGGCCAGACGTGGAGATGGACATTGAGAGGGTCGAAGAGGTGACCAAGAAAGACAACGTCTGGAAGACCAAGGCGGTGTTCGAGAATGAGGCTGCGATGTTCTACGACAACGAGACGGAGAGGGTTCGCGACGAGAGCGCGCTTGGCTTCGCGAAAGCGCTCACCGAGGAGGAGATCAGGAAGAGGGCCACCAAGGTCCCTCCTGCTCAACCCGAGGGCGGTGGAGAAGACGATGATGATGACGGCAGCAGTCACTCGGGCGACAGCGACGCCAGCGGCGGGTCGGGCGACACCAGGGGGCCAGGTGAGCCTGGTGGGGGCAGTGGCCTAGAACCTGCCTCCAACGCGCGCCATTCCCTGGTGGATCTCTCGGTGGATTCCAAGGCGACGGCGCCACTTGCGGCGGGCCTGCTCACTCCTGCCAAGGGTGCCAAGAGCGACGTCATATCGGTGCTGGGCGGGGGGAGTCAGTCTGGTCGCAAATATACCTTTCAGCGCGGCCCCTCTTCCGCCTACGGCGGGGCAGGTGATGATCTCGACGACGGCCCGCCCGCCAGGAACGCCAAGGAACACGCGGCGAAGCTGAGCATCTGGTCCATCCTGGAACTCAAGAAGAAGGGCACCCAGATGCGGAACGCCAGGGAGTTCCTGCAGAAGGAGCCTGACGCACCCGACGGTGATATGCTGCAGGAGAAGATAGAGTTGGCGGCCAGGTGCACGCAGTTTCATCGCGGCGGCGTCTTCGATTGCAGCCTCACTGATTACAACAAGACCTGCGAGGACTTGCGCAACCCTGGAGAAGAGATCCCCGCGGTTGCCAGGCAGTACATCCTCGACAGGCGCATCAAGATCTGGCAGGAGGACCCAGATAGCTACAACAAGTTTGATGAGATCATGGACATCGTGTTCCCTTGGGACAGGGCGATGGCGAAGGACAAATCCTCGGAGAAAGATGCAGGTGGAATGGGGCCCTTCGCGTGTACGTACGACCCGACGAACCCCAAAGTGCGTGCCTTGGACATCTCCGACTCGGAGAAAGCTCTGAAGTTCGGTGAGACCGTAGTTAAGGTCATACTGGCGCCGATGCTTAAGATCGGCCAGAGCGGCGCGCAGCAGGTGATCAACTTCTCCAATGGCTTCCTGGCCGACTTGCTGAACATGCCAGACGATGGCGTGGAAGAGACATTGGCCAACGTGGTCACCGAGCTGCTCACGTGCTTCAGGGGGATCCTGGTGATGATGTTCCAGACGGTGGACGGCGGCGGGTCCCACGATGACTTCTCCGACCTGGCGACGCCGCCGAAGCAGTACACCTTAGCCCAATCGCTCGCCGCAACCATCCGCTCACAGCCATACTGGAATGGTCAGAAGGCTAACTACCTGAAGTACCGGAAGCCTCGCGAGAGGGCTGAGCCCCGCCTCCAGGAGATCAAGACCGCATTGGCGCCAGGTGCAACGGCCGTACCCCTGGACACGTTCAAGACGTACATGGAGAGCATCTACATGCTGAAGGGCGAGCTGCCTGAGGAAGCGTTCGATGGCATCATGGGTCCGATGAGGGACTGCGCAATGCACAATCTCGCATCCATTCACGAGAAGCTGAGCTCTGCAGATGGGCCGTTGGACGACTTGCGCAAGTATGAGACGTTCCTCGCGGTGGCAGTCAATCTTTTCCCTTCGGATGGCGACTTCAAGCATGCCATGGAGGACGTGCGGGATAGGAAAGCGGGGGCTGCGAATGAGACGTTGCTGAAGGATCTGAAGGCGGCGTGCGAGGCCGCCGAGGGGGCGACCAACTTCGAGGAATTCGTGGCCAAACAGGATGCGTTGGGGTTAGCGTTGACGGCCGCGAAAGGGCTGCACGAGTACCCGAAGCTCAGCGCGCTGGGCGTGGACTCAGCCACCCTCGTGATGGTCGACGGCATCGTCGCGTCTCTCTGTGGCCCTGACGGCTTCGCGGATGCCGCTTGCACCAAGTCGCTGGTCACCAACCTGCACTTGCTGAAGCCGTGGGTTCCAGCGAGCGCCCGTTCCATGAATGGCGTCTCCGTCTGCTCGTTCCTCGAGGTGTTCGGCGAGGCGCTCGGCCTGGCCGAGCGTCGCCATGCGACTGAAATGAAGCACGGGAGCTCGGTCGAGGACCTCGCGAAGAAGATCCCGCTGGAGGATGTGAAGGAGATGATCGCGCTCGTCGGCCCCTTCAACACGAAGCTCGACGCATTGGACGTGCAATTGACACAGAAAGGCGCCGCCATCAACGCTGCTGGCATCCAAAAGTGCATGACGAGCATGCATGCGTTCATCAGTGGCATCGTCGACCAGAAGCTGAACGACAATAAGATCAGGATCGATGACTTTTCTGGCGACGCTGAGGTTTTGACGACTTGGGCAGGCGGCTGCAACGGTAAGATCTGGTCGGACAAGCTCAAGCCAGCTGACAAGAACAGTCTGGCTGCTACGAAAGCGTGCTACGACAAGACGCTCGGGAACATTCCAGCCAAGACGTTGGTGGACCTCACTGCTCAGGTGGAAGAGAAGTGGAATCAGTTGAAGGAGAGGAAGACGATCCTCGAGGCGGGCCGTTCGCAGACAGGGTTCCCAACAGATCAGTTCGTGGTCGATGCGTTCAACGTTGTGCAGAGGGCGCTTACGACGATCTTTGAGGGTAAGGTCATCGGTGCCGTCGATGCGTTGAAAGGCAACCTGGTGCAGATGAAAACAGCGATCGGCGGCTACAAGAAGAAGGCTTCGACTTACGACCTGTGGGATGACAAGCAGTTGCAGATATGGGCGAAGGTGGTTCCAGCAGTTCTGGAGATCGAGAAAAAGGCAATGGCGATGATAATGATCTCGTGAGACAATGGGCCAGCGCGGACTCTTTGCAGCCAGTCTGGTAGATAGCCACTACACGCTAGCCAATGTCAGATAGCTGCGTTTGGCAGCTGGAAGCGAGGGAGCTTGCCAAACGGGGAAGCGGCAAGCGAGAGATCTACAAACACTCCCCCGACTGGGGGCACGCCTTCACTTTTGATGAAAAATCTAGCCCTGGCTGCTTCCTCCCTCCCCTTAATCCTTATCCTCTTCCCGAGGTGAGTTCGAAGGCGGAGGAGGATGTGGTGCAACCTATGTGGTGCAACCTATGTGGCGCAACCTATGTGCTGCAGTCTAGGTGGTGCAACATATGTGGTGCAACCTATGGGGTGCAATCTAGGTGGTGTAAGCCATGCCAGTGCAATCTATGCGGTGCAATCTAGGTGCAATCTATGTGGTGCAACCTGCGCAGTGCAGTTTAGGCAGTGTAAGCTATGTCAGTGCAGTCTATGTGGTGATACCGATATGGTGGAAGCTATGTGGTGCAATCTACGTGGGCCAAGATATCTGGTGCAGTCCTTGTGGTGAAACAAATGTTATGTAAGCTACGTAGTGCAATATCTTTATAGCACTCTAAGTGGTGCAAGCTATGTGGTGCAATGCATGTGTTGCAACGTAGTG